GGCTTTCTAGAAGATCCATCAAGGAGTTCTGACATCTCCCCCTCACTTTTGTTCCAGTTCCAGAGTCTGGTGTACCTGTCTGTGGCAGGCAATATATCTTCCTCTGCACAGACCAGAGTTCTTCATTCTTTGTACTAGGAGCCCCTTTGGCTCTGGGGAAGTCTGGGAATAAGATACCAGAAAAAAATATTTAAATACATGAAAGTAAATGTACAAGCTTACAAAATAAACCAATTACATCGAGACATTCAATGTGGAAAGAATGTTTTAGTAAGAGGTTATGTTAGTCAGCTTTCTGCTATGTAACAAATGCCTGAGATGATCAAATTATGAAGAGGAAAGTTTTGTGTTGGCTTACGGTTTTGGATTTCCAATTCACAAACTATTGGCCCAGTTGCATCATGGGACAGCATGGAGCAGAGAAACACTTCTCATCTTGTGGCTAGAGAATCAGAAAAGAGGAGGAAGGATCCTGGGTCCCATCATCCTCTTCAAGGGTGCGCCCTGAAGATCTCCTACCAGGTCCCACCTCCTAACACTTCCACTGTCTTCCAGTAGCGCCACCCAGGGGAGCACAACTCCATTACATGAGCCTGTGGGAGGCATTGAAGAGCTAAACAGCAGCAGAGGGGAACGAAATGAAAGGCATGACTTTTCCTCCAGCCCAGTCCCAACTCTCCTGAGTTCCATCATAGGACTATCATTTCCAGAGTCTCTCGGTCTCCTTTCCCCCATATCTAGTCTTCTGATCTCCCTGACTCTGACTCTACCACCTGACACAGAGCCTGGAACACAGTCAGCTGAGTTGATGCCTTTTGGGGTAAAAATAAACCTTTAAGCATTGTCTTGCCCCACCTGTGGGGGGAGGGGCAGCCCGCTGGGACCAGTGACCAGGTGCTTCCCAAAGGGTACACAGGTGCAGGGAGGCTTCCCAGCAGATGCGCAGAGGTGGGCCTGCCCTGCACAGGAGGATGCTGATTTCCGGGCTGCAGGGTTTAGATGGTCCACTCATCGTGGGTGACCGGTCTCCCTGCAGCCCATGGAAGGCACTCCCTGGCTACAAAGCTCCGTGGGCTGCCAGCAGCATGCTCTCTCTGCAGCCCCAAAAGGGCATACTGTGTTCCCCTCATCCTAACCCTGTTTAGCTGAAGCTGTCCTGTTGATGAATAGGCCATTTGCTTCCTGCACCACGGCTGGAGCGGCTGGCTGCCTGGGAAGAGCTATAATTAGCAGAGAGGAGTGGATTGCATGCTGGCATTGAGAGATACTTTTATACTCAACAGGATAAACTGATGTCATCAGAGATGTAAATATCATTTGGAAATTTCAGAGTTCCTGCCAGCCTCCTTCTGTGCCCAGTGCCCCTCGGAACACTTGGACCGGGAGCCCAGTTGGGCCTGGGTTGTTTAGGAAGCCACATAGGCTTGCTCTTGGCCACAGAGGTAGTGCTGTTGGTGCATGGTGGCAGGGGAGTTGGGAGGCCTGGGTTTGCTTTGGCCACGTGCTTTTCCCGTGGCTTTTGTGGTCTGGAAATGTCACAAAGCCAGCCAGTAAGGAAGTGGCAGTGCTTACTAAAGGGAATGAGGTCGGATCCAGAGAAATTTTGTTTTCTACCAGCAAAGCTGTCTTAGGGTGATTAAGGGGTTTGAGGGCACCTATAAAAGGAGCAGCCACTAACTGCCTTTCTGCAGAAGGTTGAGGCGGTCCTGCCTGGGAATTGGGGCCAGTGACAGTTCTGGGATTTGGGATGCAGCAGGCTGAGGCAGCAATGGGGGATGAGCACAGGCGGGGGTGGGGTGGGCGTGGGGGGGGGGGAGATGACAGTCCACATGCTGCTGAAGAGCAGCTTTTCTGACAACAGGAAATGTAGAACTCTCCAGAGTGTATGGAATCAGTACAGAACAGATTAGGATGATGTAGTTGTGTGAATTCAGTGACAGAGTGAGGATTATACTTTTTATCATGGTGGAAGATAAAACCTTGCTGCCACCCTCAGGAACACAGGGCCCTCAGACGTGTGCCTTGTTTCATGCTGGGGCCCCAACACCGGTTCCACACACCATGTTGAATCCTGTCCTCAACTCCCGTGTGCAGGGGCTCCTGATTTTTTATCTCATTCAGGCCAGAGTGTAGTGAGGGATCTTCACAGGGCTTCACGCAGAAGGGAGAAATTTGCTGGCCGTTGTTCTCTGAGGGCCCACGGGCTGAGGTCAGTGTTGAACAGTGATTTTTACCATGTTTGGGGTTTGGGAGTGCGCCTGACCCAATGGCTTCCCGTTACTCTTTCTCAGTGGTAGATTTCATTTCCAGTGTCACCACTTTCCTGGTATGTTGTGTGTGTTATGTGTATGCGTGCCTGGGTGATTTTGCTGGCATCCCTTCACTCCCAGATTTCCCAGTATGGCCACACTGTTAATAAATGGCTGGCGACCCCATGTGTCAGTGCCTTTGCCCTGGCTGGTGTACATTAGAGACATTCCTTCCTAGCTGGGGAGGTGGGTCCCGGCCAACTGAGCACAGCAAAGGGGTTATCTCTGCAAGCCAAGGCTCTTAGCTTTGTAGTACAGCAGGGTGCTGGGCCCAGGGAGCTGATCTGGGTAATCCGCTGCATCAGTGCTTGTAAGTCATAAATTCTGTTTGTGTGACCTCTGGCATCCCTGTCCCTTGTCAAAGCCGAGGAGGAAGCATCCACTTCCCTTTACTCAGGATGGCCTTGGCACCCTGTAGAAGGTCAGGGGGCTATTCTGGAAGGCATGAGGAAAAAGGAGTCCATTGTGGGAACTGCCTGGGGTAGAAGTATGTAAGTGAAGGAGCCTCTTGCTGCTCTGAATGGCGACTCTAGGACCACCACCTGGAAGTACACTGTCAGCCCCTTGTCTCCTCTCCTTCACTCCCTCCTGGACCTGAGCTGATAGCACACCACTTCCATTTGTTCTCCCAAGTGTCTGGGGCTCAGTGGGAAGTCCCGTAACCCAGTGACATTTCCCAGCCTTCCGGAATGAGTGGCCCGGAAGGATGGTTGAGATCTTTGGACAGGCAGAAGACTGGTACATAGCAAGTGACTCAGGATCTAGGGGTGGAGTAAGGGGCCTCTGGGAAATTCCAGCTTGCACTCGTTCAGGAACATTGATTGTAAACATCTACCTCACCCTGCAGTAGGGACTGTCAGGGAGCTGTAGATGCCCAGAACAGTCAGACGATCCCAGCTGGCATGGAGCTTGTATTCTGGTGGAGAAGAGAAACAAAAAAGTAAAATAAATGTTGCACTGTGTTAAATACTGGTAAATACAAAGGAGAAAAATAAAGAAAAAGCAGTAAAGAGTTTTGTGAGGAGAGATTTTCCACTTTTGAATAAGGTGGCTCAAGAAGGCTTCACTAGACAGGTGACAGCTGGGTACAGATGGAAGGAAGTGGGGAGTGATCGTATCATCAGGAAACCCTTTCCAGGTGGTGGGAACAGCTTGTGCAAAGGCCCTGGTGTGAATGCTTGGGCTTGCTGGACAGCAGCAAGGAGCCTGGGTTTTTCTGGTGGAAAGTTACAGTGTGTACTGTTTCTGTTGTCAGAAATGTTGATAATGAGGAATTCTGGGCCAGGGAGATAGCTCGATAGAATAAGCACTTGCCTGGCAAGAACAAAGTCCTGAGTTCAATCCCCAGTGACGGAAAAAAAAAAAAAAAAAAAAGACAAAGGAATTTTAATGAAAATCCCCTCAAAATTTCTCATCCCATCTGTTGGCCTTCCTTGTGGTCATTCTGAAAGTAAATTCCAGATTTATGATACTGTGTGAATGTCTACTCCCCTGAGCAGCGCTGAAATGTCCTTTCGGTCACCTGCCTGTCTAATAGATATCATGGTGGCCATGTGCGTTTGGGTTTACAGAGTCACCACCTCAGTTGTTTTGGCCACAGCCTTGCAGAGGGCCTTGGGTAAGCAGGGCCACAGTGAATGTGTTGTTTCTGTTTTTCACATGAGAACACAGACTTGGGTGGGCATTGCTTGTCCAGGGTCTGGGATTAACAAGTGACAGAATAGGGAACCCATGTTCTCTGACTCAACCAGGGCTTCTTCAAAGTGTCACATCCATGCAGGGTCCATGTCTTAGTTGCTTCTCTCTCATTGCTGGGACAAAATACCCAATACCTAGAGTTAAGAGGGAAAGTTTATTTAGCTCAGTTTGTAGAGGTTTCAGTCCAGAATCAGCTGGCTCCAAGGCAGGATGCACAGCGTACAGGCATCACAGAGGAGACGGTCTGTGATGGGGCAGAAGGTAGCAAAGCAGCTAGGGGAGCCTGAGCTTCTTGGCTCTTTGTGTCTTATCTGGATGGCTGCTCTTAGGGCAGGCAGCACGCTCTCCTGCATCTCAGTGCCCTTGATCTTAGCCCTGTCCCGTGAGTCAATCCCAGGGTCACACTCTGGATCTAGCTACCTCTGAAAAAGCCCCACCGATGACTGCATGAGGCTTGGGGACGCCTGGACGTGAGCCATGACAGTCCGTGTTAGCCTGTGGTGGCTGCTGTCCAAGTGCCACAGATCGAGTGGCTTAAGCCACAGATTCCGGGTTTAGCTCACAGCTCTGGGGTCAGAAGCCCAAGAGCTGGGTGCGATGGGTTGGCTCTTCCCAGGTCTCACTCTTTGGCTTGTAGATGGCCCTCTTCTCCTGGTCCTTGTGTGGTCTTTGTCTGTGTCCTAGTCTCCTCTTATATGGACACCAGTCCTACTAGATTAGGGCCACCCTGCTGACTTCACTTTCACTTAATTGCCACTTTGAAGGCCCTGTCTCCGAATATAGTCATATTCTGAGGAACTAGAATATAGGATTTCAGCAGAGGACTTTTTGGGGAAACAGGTCAGCCCACACTGGGGTTCCTCATGTGTGGCCCTTCTGGGGGACCCCCGTCCAGAGCCAGGTGGCCTGCTACTGAGGCTGTGCATGGGCTCCAGAGAGGTTGTCATGCCTCCTTCCGCCCTTCCCCTTCCTCACCGCTGCCTTCTGCCACAGCTGATTGGTGCCCTGGTCCTGTCAGTGGGGATCTACGCAGAGGTTGAACGGCAGAAGTACAAAACCCTGGAAAGTGCCTTCCTGGCCCCGGCCATCCTCCTCACCCTCCTGGGGGTTGTCATGTTCATCGTCTCCTTCATTGGTGTGCTGGCCTCCCTCCGGGACAACCTGTGCCTTCTTCAAGCGGTGAGTCGGCCTGCCCAGCGCTCAGCCTTGGGAAGGAGGGTTTGTGACTATGGGGGCTTCTTGGGGTCTCCACAAAAGTCCTTGCCACGTGCTCACTCCTCCAGAGGGTTTCCTAGGCCAGCCTGTAGAGCAGGGCTTAGGAGGGCCCAGGCCACCCCTTATCTGTTTATAAAAGCAGAGTTGAGTACTGTGGTTGCACCTGTTCCTCTGGACCCTCGGTTGTAATGAGAGGAGCCACACGGATGAGAGCAAGCAAAGCTGGACAAAAGGAGGGTGGTGAGAGGTGAGTCCTTAGCTCACCCACAGCAGGTTGGCAGTGTCTCTGGCCACCTCCTGGGGACTGTGCCCATCTAGTGTTGTCCTCAGGCTGCCTACGTGGTGCTGGCCAGTAGCCCCAGGCTGGCAGAGGCCTTATGGCTTCTAATCCCAGAGTATCTTTTTTGGTAACTGCTCAGAGTCTCAGGATGCTGGTGGCCCCAGAACGGGTCATGGGCCCATCCTGAGGTAACAGGTATTGTCAACCCTCCCTGCATCTCCAAACTGTGGTGAGGGTGAGTCCCTAAAGCTGGGATGCAGGCAAGGTAGATTCTCTCACTCTGTACCACATGTGTGTCTCATGGTCCCACAGAAGCAGGATCATGTGTTGCCTGAGGCTGGAGATTACTGGGTCTGTGGGGATGGTGCCCTTTCTGATAAAGGCATAGGATGTGTATCCTCTCAGCTTCACGCACCTCTCACCCCACCTTTGAGGATACCCGGTGGGGCTGGGAGCACTGCCCCAGCCTGCCCTTCAAACCAGGTCTGTCCCCTGGAAATGTACCTGGTAAGGCCCAACTCTTCCCTTGGGTGGATGATATGGTGAAGCTTGTCACCTAAACCCACTAAGGACCCCTGGGACAAATGTGGATGATAATCATCTTTCTAGAGCAGCTTGGATACAGCTGTCCACATGTCATGGTCCATGGGTTGGGAGGGCAGCAGGCCCAGGAACATGACAACTGCTAGCCTCCATCCTCTGCCCCCTCCAGGCAAAACTTTTTTTTTTTTTTTTTAATGCTTGAAATTGAACTGAAGACCTTGTGTTTGCCAGGCCAGCACTGTACCATTGAGCTATATCCCTGGCCCAAAGGTGAATCTCTGAATTTTGCTTTCCAGTTTATGTACATTCTTGGGATCTGCCTCATAATGGAGCTGATTGGTGGCGTGGTGGCCTTGATCTTCAGGAACCAGGTGAGCCTGGGGTTCTTTTATGAGTGCTGTACATACTGAGCGCTTGCTGTTTGTGCCCTGGGCTGGAAAGGGGGGGTGCTACAGTGAGTGGGTGAACAGCCCTCGGGGTTTCCCCTGTACTGCAGGAGGCTGAGGGTCTGGCAGAGATGACGGATGTATGTCTTGGAAACAGCAGCTCTGTGACTGTCGTGCGGGAGCAGGAGTGAAGGAAGCAGACAGGTTTCCAGGGCAGCACCTGGCATCCCACTTCCAGCAGGGTTTGCAGAGTTAGGGTCTCCTGGAGCTGGAAAGATGTTCCTGGCTCCTGGTCTCTGAGCCCTTCATCCTAGTCTGTGTGCATGTGCTACACCCTAGCTGTGGATGCTGGGTGAGCCACTTGAGCTCTCGGATCCTTTGAGGGGTCGTGATTGCTAGTGTGTGGAGTTTGGAGTGAAGATTGGGTAAAAGCAGGACTATGAAGGGCCTGAAGTGCCGGGCACAACTCTTCCTGTCTAAGACCCCACAGGAAGAGAGTGGTGGGGAGGGCACACTCCAACCAAGGATTTCTATCCTTTCTCCCAGAACCTCCTTCCTCTTCCTCACCCTGCTGTGGTGCTGTGGTCAGGGCCTGAGGCGCAGGGCACATTTGTAGCAGCTTGTGTCTGTCTACTCCCTCGGTGCACTTGGGCCTGCAACACAGCTCGGTTCCTGGCATTCCAGTAGCTGTTGGAATAATGGTGGATTAGAGCTACATAGAACCATCATTCTCCCTGGAAGTTGAGCCCATGGCAGCAGACACTGTCCCAAAGCAGGGCTTCATCTAGTTCAGTGTCCCACCCCTGCCACACTCTTCCTGGGTGGAAGCACACCTGATCTGCCCAGGCCTCCTAAGGGTGGCCCTAACCCCAAGCAAGTCTACACCCCTGGGATCCAAGGCTGAGCTCCAGAGCAGGGGAGGGGTAATTCCCATCCTACTGATGGAGTCATCACTACACAGAGAGGTTAAGAAACCCTTCCAACAGCACACAGTAAGACAGAGACAGCTCTCTGCTCCTCCCTTTTCCTCTTTTCTGCTCTAGTTGTCTGCTCTGAGCTAGCAGATCCAGGATGCTAACTCATGTGCCTGCAGCTTGAGGGGAGGGAGCTATTCTCTCATCTGCCTTCCTGGACACTCTTCTGTGCAGCCCTCAGAGCTTCTGGCCAGCCTGAGCCTTCCAGGGTTGGGGGAGTGCTTTCCTGGCTGGAGCCCAGGAAGAGTTTGTGATTAGCAACTTCTACACCCTTAATGAACAGCCTGCTCCAGAGAGCAGCAGGCTGAGTCCCAGCCTGCTTCTGCCGAGGCTGTGGGATCTGCCGCTTGCCAGGCTTCTTGGGTCCGTGAGGGCCAAGCATGGGGGCCTTTCAAGGGAGGAATCCGGCCTGAGGCCTCAAAAGCCCCTGAACCCTTCAGGAAGCCACAGGGCTGCGGCCAGGGGCAGTTTCCAGTCATCCCCACCTTCTGTGTGTACTGTGGCCTGTGAAGTGTGCCCGGCTCTCTTGGGTGGAGAGGTTAAGAAACCCCTTCAACACAGGTGCCCTGGTGGGGGTCGTGGTGGGCGGCAGGAAGGGGCTCTCAGCTCTGTGGCGTGGACCACAATGTCTGTTGAAAAGAACAAACACGAACTCAAGTTTCTCCTCTCACATGCTGACAGACCAGGTCGCCTCCACGGTCCCTGGAGGTGGGGCTTTTCTCATGTGCCAGGGGAGTCATCTATCTGCCACAGACCCCAGGGAGGTGTCCTCTGAGTCACTCAGTGCTGGTGCTGTCCACCTGGAGATGGTATCACGCCCCACGGGCTGAGCAGACACACTCCCAAGACTGTCCCCTTCGGGTGCCAGTCACAGCCCTAGGTGCTTTCACCTGTGCTTCTGACCACTGGCTGTAATGGGGATCCTTCCGACCCTTCCTTGGGTTCAGTTAATTTGCTCAGGCACCTCACAGAACTCAGGGGAACACCAGGTCCTACTTATTATGAAGGGTATTTATTGTCCCTTTATTACCAGCTTATTATAAAGGATGTTCCAAAGGATGCAGAAAGGTGAGGCTTGGGAGGGCGTGTGCTGAGCCTTTGCGTGTTCAGCTCTCAGGGAGCCCCTGTGCCCTGCACTTCAGGGCTCGACGACCACTTAGGGCACAGGCACGTTTGCACATAGGCTGTGTGGGGACACCCAGTGAGGTCTTTCTGTTCAGTCTGCACTGCGCCTCCTTTGAGGGCTCCAGGTACCACCTGGACAATAAGGGTGTCTGTGACTGACTGTCACACAAGGGCAGGTCACGGCACGTCTTTATGAAGGATGTGGAGGCTGGAGTTTCCACGACCCACCTTGGGGAAGAGAAATTGGTGAGCCAGGCACAGAGGATGCACTTGTTTCTGTGGTCAACACCCCAGTATCATATCCTCAAACAAAAATTTTTATAATGTTAAATCAGGCTACTAATTCAGACATGCGGTGAGACCTTCACAATGAATAAAATAAAGTCTGGAGAAAGACTAAGAGAAACAGAAATACTAATACACTCTGAGAGATGGGACAAAGGTGATTTTTCTTCTTTTCATTTTATTTTTCCCCAACTCCCAAAGTTTCTTCTTCTTTTTTTTTTTTTTTTTCGGAACCGGGGATTGAACTCAGGCCCTTGCGCTTGCCAGGGGAGCACTTTATTCCACTGAGCCATCTCCCCAACCCCCTCTTTTCTTTTTTTAATGTTTGTTTTTCCTTTTGTAAAGTCAACGGGAAAATGGCCTTACTGATTGGGGATATGGGACCGGCTGCCTAGGGAGCCGGACAGGCCGGGACAAAAGCAAAAGCACATGCTGCTACATGACACTGGCCACTGCGGTAGGGTCTGTGTGGCTGTCTGGGTCTTGTGCCCTCCACAGTGGCCACTGCCCAGCCTGGTCTGGGGCTTCTCCGGAGGGTCTAGCAATGCTGCAGGCCCCTTGCCTCTGCTCTGCCTGTCGCAGCCGGAGGTGGGGAGCACTGATCTCTTTCTTCAACTCCATCAGAGAGTATTGTATCATTCCAGATGCCAGCACCAGTCAGGCTGTCTTGTTTTGGCCCTGGCCTCCTCAGCTGGTTCCAGGTACACATTGGGCCAGGGGCAGGAGAAAGGAGGTAGCACCACAGCCCCCTCGGCCGAGCACCTGAGCCAGGCTGCTGGTGGCCCGGAGGCAGCATTCTGCCCTGGGCTGGCCAGATCTCCAGCTGAGGTGCCCCTCTGTGCAGAGCTGCTAGCTGCTGGCTAGTTCCTGGGACCCTGTGTGACCTTTCTCACCTCAGGATTCTCTGTGATTCCAGGTGTTGGGAACAGCTGTGTCACCAGGGTCTCCGATGCTGCCAGGGAAGCCCTGGGTGACTGTCCCCTGCCATTCCTCATCCACTGAAAACACTGCCTGTGCCCCTCTGGAGGCCTTGGGTAGCTGAACAATCTGATCTGAAAGAAACAATTAGAAAGGACAATTATTTGTAGCTCTGGTGGCTTAAGCAATGTGCTCTGAAATCCTGGTAGCTTTTGATTTTTACTTATTCTCGGCTTCAGTTGGCCCAGTCTATGTGACAACTGAGACCCTGCTGGCTCTTAGTGGAAGGGCCTTTCTAGTCCTCTCTGGGTACCCCAGCTGCCATAACCTTGTTTAGAGCCAGGTGTGGTGATGCTGCTGGCTGTGGCTTCTGGGACCTGCAGTGGAAGCCACTTCCCCGCCTGCTGTCACAAGCCATGTCCCCTGGCAGGCTTTGAAGTTCCTCAGAACACGTTAGGTCAGCAACGCCTGCTGTGTCCCCTCGTGAGATTTCCTCCCCACCATCCCCAATATTACAGCCAGAGGAGACCTCAGTGACCTACCCACTCCAGTGCACTCGTGCACACTCACATAAGTGGACACAATTGTGAAAGACATTAGGGCCCACAGATCTGTCCCCTGGGTGTCGGGGCAGCTGCTGTCCATGGACCCTGGGGCCTTCTGCTCCTCCTGTCCATTCTCTGCCCTTGCCTTCCCTTTCTGGCCTGACTCACCAAGGCCTGGCATGGAGTCTGTGCCCTTGCAAATGCCCAAGATGATTTGGGGACAGAGGCCAACACTGCTCTTAGAGGAGGGAAGACCGGGCCTATGCCCACCAACTTCACCTCTACCCGATCTGCTTCCCTAGCCTGGGCCTCCTGCCCTCATCCCACTCTGTCACCAGCTCTGAAGGCACCCATGAGGCACAGTGACCTAGGGGTAGGCTGGAAGTTGGCCAGTCTAGGAGCAGAAGGGGGACAGAGGGGCCAAGGCTGAGGCTGTAGTGCCCTGCATATGAAAGAAAGTGGCTCAACATCACATTCTCATGATGGTTGCCCTAGGGATGACCTTGATAATGACGTCACCCAGTGCCCAGTAACTCTGAGGCTGTGAGCTCATCCTCTGCCCCACCTTGCAGAGCAGCTAACCCCATCCCTCCCACACCTGGGCCAGCTGGCCTCTCCTTGGTCTATGTAGAGGAGCAGGCACTGAAGGCTGGAGCGGCTCTGACCTGGGCCTAAGGCCTTCCAGGTCCTTGCTGCTCCCAGGCTGTGTGGCTCTGTGCCAGGCCATCCACCCAGCCCCTGCCCCAGTGTCCAGTGCGAGACCGATGCAGTCCATGGCCAACAGTTCCAAGTTTCTCACAGATGCTGTGTCCTTTTCCTCCTGGGCCCCTGGTCACCTTGGCTGTGAGCATTGTGGTCTTGGGGATTAGGTGGCCCTGGCCTGCTTCCTTTTACTCTTCCCGTGCTAGAAATGGTTGAGAGAGATGACCCCAGATCTGAACCTTAGGCTTTTGGCTCCGCACCCTAAAAGATGTCAGACTGGGAGTTTGGTGCCCTGATCTTATGATCTCTCGCAGAACCTCTCAAGCCGCTGAGTGACCTTGGGCAAGTGGCATGGCTCTCTGGGCTACAGGATGCCCGTGAGGGTGGTGCCAGGAGCTTCCCTCAGAGGCTGCCTGTACTGTTGAGGTCTTTGGCGGGGGAGATCTGGGCCTCAGTTAACCCTGGAGTCACCATTTTCCACTCATGACATGGTGAGTCTGAGCTGGTATCCTGTGTCCGTCTCCTGGAAAAATAGTGAAAACTATTTTTATAATACCAAGACCTGGGCTGGGGAGATAGCTCAGTGGTCTTGCAAAGTGCAAAGTCCTGAGTTCAATCTCCAGTACTGCAAAAACAAACAAAACAACAATAGCAACACACCAGGCCCTACCATGTGCCCAGCTTTCTGCTCAGCACTTTCAGAGATTTAGTACAGTTTAACCCCACAGTGTCCCTGTGGAGCCGAGGCAGCTGCTTCCCAATTTTGCAAGAGGGGATCTAGAGGCTTGGAAGTTAACAGAAGTGACTGCAGCCTGGTGACTGCAGGGACCGTGTTCTGGGTGGTGTTTTTGGACCCTGCCTTATAGATGGGCCTACAGCCTTGGCTCACGGTGGGAAACAGGCCCAGGAAGGGGAAGGGAGCTGTGAGGGAGCCTGGAACCTGAGCTCTGCTGTGCCCCTGGGTTTACCAAGATGCCTCCCCCAGGAATTGTGTGGCTCCTCTCTGCCACCAGGGCCAAGAATGCCCCTTTGTCCCCCTCTCTGCTGATACTCAGCCTCTGCTCTGAAAGCTCTGATTGTCATAGCCAGCGTGGAGATGGGCCGCCCACACTCCACCCCCACCCTTGCTCGCTGTGGGCCCCTTTGTGTTCCGGATCTCAGCATAACAGCCAGGCTGTTGATCCAGAAAGCCCAGTGTGACTGGGAGAGGGCAGTGTGCCAGCACGCTTTCCCATGAGGATGGTCCCTGCCCAGGCTGGGAGGGGACTGCCGGGTCTGTGGGCCCCAGCACCTAGTGATGGAGAGAGAGGCCTGTCCTGGAAGCCAGGAGGCTCGTAATCCTGGCCTGGCCAGGCCTACACTGGCCTGCTCTGTGAACTGGGCAAGCACCCCACCTCCAGCTCCTTCCTCTGGGTCCTTCTCAGTTTCCTCCTCTATCAAGCTTGAGGCTGGGTGATGGAGAAGTGTGAAGAGGGCCTGTAGATGGAAAGGCTCTGGCTCAAGCCTGTCCCTGGGTGGCAGAGAGAGCGCAGGGCCGGTGACCAGGATGGCAGAGCCAGCTAGAGTTTGGCGCCTCAGAGCTCAAGGCTCACAGGCAGGGCCCTTGCCCCCAGGGCCTGCGTTGTCCAGCTACGGAGGTTGTCATAGCGGCCCTCAGGCATCTGTTGGGTCTTAGAGGCTGGGGAGGGTGCGCGGGCAGGGAGGTCATGGGAATTGCATGGGGACCCTCCCTGCAGGTGGTGTGGGTGCTCCAGAAGCACACGGTGCCCTCTACTGGTCTTGACATCCAGGGTTGGTCTCTGTGCCTGGTCCTTTTCTTTTACAATGTCTCCTTAACAGACCATTGACTTTCTGAATGACAACATCCGAAGAGGAATTGAGAACTACTATGACGATCTAGACTTCAAAAACATCATGGACTTTGTTCAGAAGCAGGTGAGCCCCAGAGCTGGGGTCAGAACAGTCCCTCCAGGGCCTTTGCCCCCCATTTAGCACCCAGTTCAGCAGTCATAGTGCCAGCACCTGCTTGTCCTTGTGCTTGTCTGCATCCGTCTCCTTTAGTGCCAGGGCTCAGGTCCCTGCCCTGGCTTTGCTGTAAAGATGACCTTGACTTCTTTCCGAAATGCTTAGAAGAAGCTGGGCTTGGTGATGCACACTTGTGATCCCGGCACTCTGTGAGGCTGAGGCAGGGGGTCACAAGTTCAAGCCAAACCTGGGCAACTTAGCAACTTAGTGAGACCCTGACTTAAAAAATATATATATATATATATATATATATATAGAAAAGAGTTTGAGATGCAGCTCTTTGTGAAGGCTCTGGATAAATGCCCAGTATCGGGGGGGGAGGGGGAAGCATAGAACAGGCCAGGGGCTTAGAGATAAGGCCTCAGCAAGTGGGCTGTCCTTAGGCTCCTGGGTGGGGACAGCCACTGGCCAACTCCACCCGGCAGTGCCTCCTGGGAGGTGACCTTGAGAGCGCAGCTGCTCCGCCCCCTCGTGCCAGCCTGTGGTGGGAGCCACCTCTCGCCACGCCCAGGGCCCCGGCTCCACATGCCTTTGCAGTCAGAACAGGTGCAGCCTCCTCCGGGAGCCCTTTCCTGTCAGTGCTGCACTGCCAGCTCTGGTGGGGTCACTGGAGTCCCAGGCACTCGCACTCGGATAGAGTGAGATGTTTTTACTGGAAGCAGCCTTTAGCTGGGTGGGGAGTCCACGGCTCTGGGAAGGGGTGGGAGTGACTAGTGCTCACCAGGCACCTGCTCGTTACCCCTCCTGCAGAGTGCTTTACACACAGCTTCTGTGACAGCCACGGCTGCACTCTGCAAAGCTGCCCCTGCTCTTCCTCGTTTACACACAAGGATCCAAGTCCAGAGAGGCTGGCTGATCAGCTTGCTTGCAGGCATACAGCTGAGAAGCTGGTACGGGGGACTGGAACGGGGGTTTGTCTGGTACCCACACCTCTCCTTGGAGCAGCCTTTGAGGAGCCCGCTCTGCTCCTTCCCCTGTGTCCCTGTGTCCCTTCCCGCCTTTACATTTAGCACTTGCTCTGCCTCCCTTCCCTGGTTTTGCTCACCTTGTCTGTCCAGAGACCAGATGGTGCCCAACACATGCCAGTGCCTCCAGGGAGCTGCTGGCTGCTGCCCCTCGAGTGGGCACTGGTATAGGACAGAGGTGGGGAGGCCAAGCTCAGGGGAGAGCCCAAGGCCATTGCCTGTGTGCTGAGGTCAGTGGAGCAGGGTCTTCCTCAGGACTGTGTTCTCTGGGACCACAAAAGTCCTGTCTAGCCTGGCACCAGGGACATGAAGATAAATGGTCAGTTCATTTGCCCAGGAAGGGTTTTCCCTTCAACATCCAGTTGTTGCTCTGATGTCTACCCCAAGGCAGCCCACCTTGACTTGTGTACTTTGCCAGGACAGGTGCTTACTGCCTCCGGGACAGTCATGCCACTCCTGGGTAGTTCTAACCTGACAGCATACAGCCCTGTGTACTGACTGTCCCTCCCACCAGGGTGATCCTCATAGCAAACTGTGCTGGCTCCCGGGGCCCCTTCTGGTCCCTGACTGGAAGCTCTTCTTTTCTGTTTGCTGTTTTTCTCAGTTCAAGTGTTGTGGTGGGGAAGACTACAGAGATTGGAACAAAAATCAGTACCACGACTGCACTGCCCCCGGGCCGCTGGCCTGCGGGGTGCCCTACACCTGCTGCATCAGTAACAAGGTAATGCTCTCCTGGGGTGGGGACAGGAGGCCATCTGCTGGTCAGATGCTGCTGAAGATGGGGATGTGGTTGGCATGGGTTGGGGCAGGCAGGCAGGAGGGGGCAGCCAGAGCTGAGGTTTCCTGAGTCTTGGCAGCTCTTTCGAGGAGAGCTCTTGGGTGTGGCAAGGGGGCCTTGTCTTTATGAGTGGGTCAGTCAGCATCTGCTGAGCTCCCGGGGGCCTGCTTCAGGCTCCTTGGTTTTATTAAATAACCCAGCCCTTACAGTGACATGTGAGTAGCTGCTATTAATTCACTCACTTACAGATGAAGAGATCGAGGCACGGGAAGGGTAGGTGTCTTGCTTGAGATTGGCAGGGCTGGGATGACATGCCCTCAGCTGTTTCAGCCCAGGAAAGCCTGGGAGTGGCAGCTTCAGCCCAGAGCTCAGCGACCTCAGCCAATCTGCAGCATTGGCTCGGGCAGAGTGGGGTCTGTGCTTTGGCTGTCTCCAGTGACCCCCAGCAACACAGTGCCCGGAAGGAGCGGGTGGTGATATAAATGTCAGCCTCTGCCTCTCACCAGCTTGGCCCCTCGGCTATCGCCCCCTTAGTCACTTGGGTTGCTGTCTTGTGTAGTCACCACTCCGTTGGTCCTTGTGTGTAACCAGCAGAAAGCTATGCAATTACTCACGCCTCAATAGTCATGGAAAGTTTCCGTGCTGACATCTCTGCCACACGGTGCCCGCTGCCTGAGTCTGCACACCCAGCAGCTGCGGTGGGGTGTTGCCCAGGAAGCAGGGGCAGCGCCAACTGCAGTCGCCCTGAGAAGGCTGGGCTGGAGCGAGCTTATTTGGAAACTCTAGCTGTCGCCTAGGGTGGGCTACCAAGTGAGTGCTGTGGGGGCTTCAGCGGGCTGCAGCAGGTGGTCCTGGACCTTCTGGGAGGTTGTCAGCACAAGTGTGCAGGCTGAGATATGAAAGCCCAACTTGTTCATTTAGCAGGTACTGGTTGAGCATCTGTTATGTGCCAGGCACATTGCTAGGTTGCAGGGGTACAGCAGGCACACAAAGCCTCTGCCCACATGGAAAACTGGCAAAATAAAGAAGGAAAAGAGAGGTGTGACAAGTGGGTAAATGCTGAGGGGGGCAAGCAGTGGCGCAGGGCGCTGTCATCTCCGATAGGAGGGTTCTGAAGGCAATGAGGGGGAGAGCCACACTGGTGTCTGGTGCCAGGGTATTCCTGGCAGAGATGAGGGTCTTGGGTGTCCCGCAGGCCATGGCAGGACTCTCCCTTTCCTTTAATGGCAGGGGATGCTGACTGAGATGCTGGTTAGTGAGCAGAAGGGCTGGTGGTTGGGCAGAGCCAGAAGCCCACAAGGCAGAGGGAGATGCTGAGCGCTGGTGCAGCTTTCCTGCAGCTGTCCGGGGCCTCAGCTGATCAACGTGGATGGCACCTCTGCGTTGTCCGGTACTGGGCTGAGGGAGCCACACCTTTGTTCTACCCAGTCCACTAGGCAACACATGGTCCTATATTCAGGGTGGGCTTGGGCGAGGTCATGCATCCTCAATGTGTGGTGCCCTTCTTCTGCCTTATGTGCTTACCTCCTCATTCAGACTGAGTTTCTCAAGGGCAGGAACTTTGTTCTTCTGTATTCCAAATTCCTAGCAGTATGTTTGGCATAGCATAGGTGCCCAGTTAACATTGGTTCAATGCAGAAAGGAGGAGGGGAGGAAGGGAGACAGGGAGGGAGGAAGGTAGGGAGGGAAGGAGGCAGGGAGGGAGGGCAGCAGGGAGGGAGGACAGGGAAGCCCCTGTGCCCATGTACTCTCCCTTACCTGCTCCTCAGACTTGACTCTTGCCAGGGGACCACTTTCATGGCCTGGATGGACCTGGTGCCACATGGACACTGGTGTTGCTGGGTCTGAGGGCACCTGTGGGAAGGTCTAGGAGAGGGACTCACAGAGCCCTGACATTTAGAGTGACCTGGATGGCACCTGAGGCCCAACTTCTTCTTGCTTTTCCAAGGACTGGGATCATGAACAATGTCACCCCAGCCAGTGCTTTTCTTTGCATCCAGTCATGTCCTCAACAGCCACGAGGTGGGTTCACTGACTGCCCGTGGCTTTGTGGAAGAGAATGTCCATTCACTCGCTGCTTAACAGAGTCCCATATGCTGGTGCCTCAGGGGCCGATGGAGTGCAGCTCTCTGAAGTACAGTTTTCTTACATGGCAGAGCAGGCTCCAGATACAAAAGGTGTGATGCCAGGGCCACAGTGGCCCCTCTGTGCCACCAGGGGTGCCTGTGGCCCACAAGCCCCACAAAGCATTCACTTAGATGGGGAGAGACACACCTGCTGGGGTCATGAGCTGGACCCAGAATGTACCTCTTCATCACATGGAGAGGGGTAGGACAGTGGTGATACAGAGTGGCCTTGCCCATCTGTGACATGGGTCCTGCCTGGGAAGGCGTTTGATGGGGCCTGTGTCTGGCTCACAGCTTCCCAGGGCTTAAATTAACTGGCAGCTGGGGTGTGCAGGGGGTGGGGTGGCGGCGGGGCTCTAGAGAGTAGCTGCCTCCCAGGAAGAAACTTCCAGCACCTGATGAGGCCAGGTCTCAGGGGGCACAGAAGGGTGCCCAAGGGTCAGCCCTGCCCTCGGCTGGTGGAGCTGTGGTTCCAGGTGTTCCTTCAGAAGATGCAGCAGTGTGGGAAGAGGCGACCCAGGGAGCAAGGCAGTGTCTTGGGACCGGACCTTGCTGGGGCCCCAGGGCAGCTTGCTTTGCTCCGTGGTTCTGGGCTGCTGCTAGAGGAGGGGAAGGGAAGACCCACAGTGTGCTAGCTGTCACGTTTCTATTTCAGACAGATGTCATCAATACCATGTGTGGCTACAAAACCATCGATAAGGAGGTAATGTCTTTGAAGTCCCCTGTCCCTGGAAACATTGCTGTGCCTGTCCCAACCCCAGGATGGGGCATAGGGGGTGGGGGATGGTTTAGAGTTGACTGTCCTGGGGCCAGAAGTGCTGCTACAGCAGGGCTCAGGGAAGCTCGAGAGGCCACTTGCCCTGCTTTGCTGAGTGCTTCCTTCGGGCTTGTCCAATGAGGCCACCTGCCAGGACCCCTGGCCTGCCCGTGTGCCTGACCTGGCTCAGCCTCTGCCTTTGGGGTCACCAGTTTGCAGGGATCCCTGCACCTGGGACCAGGAGCCCATGCATGCTCTGTGCAGCTGGCCTAGGTTAGGAGAGCACCAGGGGATGCCAGGAAAGGAGTTAAGAGGAAAGGCGGCTGAGGGGCTGCAGAGCACTGGCTTACACAGTGGGGTCCATCAGCAGCCATATAGCAGCACCCCAAAGGGCCTCAGTGGAAGTGTGACTTCTGGGCTGGAGCCCAGCAGGTGGTGCTAGCACACATCTAGCTTGAGGTCTGCAACCAGCGGTGTGCTCACCCCGCCAGAGCTGCCAGCTGCGCCATGTAACAGCGCTTCCTGATGCCAGTTGAACATGAAACCTCTAGATACAGCGCTGTAATTTGCCTGTGCACCTCATTTCTAAGTGGTCAGCATCATGGTCTAACCATGATAACGGAGAAATAAAATAATGCAATTTGCAACTCCATAACAGATTTTAACACATAAGAACTCTGGCTATTGTGAGATACATTAGAAAACAGTAAAATAGTGTTTGCAGGTGGGAGGGTGTCCCTGAGACTTAACATCTCAGGGGTCCCTATGCAGTGCATTGTGTTGGTGACTGTCTACCGGAAGCATCCTGTTTGTCTCTGACACTATAGTCCCAGCTAGGGCCAGCCAGAGAGCTCAGTGGACTAAAACGCCTGCTTAGGCAGAGCACAGGGACTCGGGTTCCATCCCTGGCACCACAAGCCATGCTGGCCCTGCCTCAGGGCTCGCTGAGACTGCAACTGAGACTGGGTATGGTGGCATACACCTGTAATCCCAGTGCTTGGGGGACTGAAAACAGGAGGATCACTACTAGTCTGATCCACATGTTGAGACCCTGTAGACCCTGCACTAAATACATTAAAAAAAAAAAGATGAATATCGTCCCAGCTCCTTAGCAGGCTGCGGCAGGAGGATCACTGGAGCTCCGGAGTTTTGAGGCCAGCCTTGGCAACGTGGTGAGATGTAAAACAGTCAGTGATTAAAAAATATGATCAGTTATTTATAAAAGTCTGAATACAGATTGAATCTGGCATTTTTGTAATGTTTGGGGCCAAAGTGTTTTGGATTTCAGATTTTTTGGTGGAAATTTTAGAATATTAAAATTCAGAATGAAATATCTTGGGGGTGGTCCCTAAGTTAGAGCATGAAATTATGTTTCATACACACCTTCTACACGTGGTCTGAAGGTAATTTCATACACGATTTGTCATCATTTTGTGCAGGAAACAATTTCCCGATGTGGAATTTTCTACTTGTAGCAGTAGGGCAGTGTTCAAAAGACTTTTGAGTTTGGACTATTTCGGGTTTGTGGCTAGGGATGTTCAGCCTGTGTGATCATTCCTCATTTTACATCGTAGCAGATCTGCAAAATTTGTTGGACATTAAAGCAGTACAGAAAACATGTTAGTTTTACCTTGCCTGGAGTTAGTCCCGCTTTCGACTCAGAAGATTATGGGTTGTTTTTCACACACACCCATGCCTGTAGGCTGGACAGTTGGCTGCGGGACAGGACTGTCCTCAGGCTCTGCAGTCCCTCAGTCCCCAGTGCTAATCTTTTGGACAGCGCACATGTCACCATAATGTTCCCCAGCTCTCCTAGTACTAGAGGATGAGTGGTTCCGGTCACCTTCTCATGTTGTGTAAGAGCAGGGGGAGGGTGGGGGCAGAGTCCGCTCCTGCTGACTGGCCCCTCCCGCACAGCGCCTCAGCGTGCAGAACATCATCTACGTCCGGGGCTGCACCAACGCCGTGATCATCTGGTTCATGGACAACTACACCATCATGGCGGGGCTCCTGCTGGGCATTCTGCTCCCCCAGGTGGGCAACCGGGCCTGGGGGGTTGCCAGAGGGAGGGTGAGTGGTGGTAGCCATGGTAGCCAAGCTTGTCCGTGGCTCCCTGGGCTCTGTCCCTAGTGCTCACCACAAGGGAGGTGTGATGTCCTGTCCATTTCCCAGAGGAGGCGAAGGCCGGCCAAGGTGAAGAAGCTTGCCCTTGTCCCTGAGATACGGAGGCAGGGCTGGGAGGTGGCTGGCAGGACCCAGGAGTTCCCCGGGATTTCCAGGGAGGGCAGGCTGGGCTGCCTGGGCAGTGGAGTGCTGTGCAGTGGGGATTTCCTAGACCACCAGTGCCAGGAGGGCTTCTGGCTGTCTGCTTGCATTTCTGGGGCCCCGGGAACTGCCAGGAGGGCCACCTTGAGGTACGTAGGTGCTCACCAGCGCTGCCTTGGTTTTGCAGTTCTTGGGGGTGCTGCTGACGCTCCTGTATATCACCCGAGTGGAGGACATCATCATGGAACACTCTGTCACTGATGGGCTCCTGGGCCCTGGCACCTACCCCAGTGTGGAGGCGGTGGGCACAGGGTGCTGTTTGTGTTACCCGAATTAGGGCCTTGCCCAGGACCATGGCTCCAATAGGGACAGTGCTGGGTGGCAGTGTTCACTCCACTCAGGCTGGACAGGGCTGCACTGTGGCCCCTCTGCCCATTTGGCACTGGCTGAGGCCCAGGCCATGTGTACCTGTGCGTGGCATCCTGTGGCTCAACAGCCGTGGGCTTGGGATCTTGTACCCACATTGCAGGCCCCCACTGTAGGGCTTGGTTGTGGGGTGAACGGGAGCTGAGTGCTTGGCTCTGGCCCATTTTATTTCTGATAGTGCCTTGGCCAGTGGTCCTTATGCCCCACTGGAGGGTGGCTTTGCACTCATTTGTGAGCGGGAAGAGAAGAGTGACTCCGTGGGGCTGGAGGGACAGTGCAGCCCTGGCCTGCCCCCTGGCCACACCCCAGGAACCTGGGTGGGCCATTTCTCTTGTGCCTTGAGCCCCCTGCCAGGGCTGCTGCTTGGCTGACCCATTTTCTATGTGATTTTTGTAACATTTGCATTTTGTACACAGTTAAAGCAGTTTCCGGCTACTCAAAGCCAGACTCTTCCCACACACCCTCTACTCCACCAGTCAGTCCTTTAATCGAACAATAAAGACATGAGTTTTTCTTTCTGGTTTTGTGTGTGCTGTTTTGGTGGGGAGCAGGTGAGCAAGGCCTCCACCTGGATGTGGAAGCCCCTTGGTGCAAGGGTCGAAGGAGGAGCACTCAGGTGAAGGTTTGGGGCAGCTTGCAATACCTCAGAGCTAGCCTGGGAAACCAAGGCTGAGTGTTGTATGGCGTGAAGCCCTGTGAAGGATGGCCAAGGCTCTGGAAAGGAGCAGTGCCCCAAATCCACCTGTGTGACTGTCATGGTGAGCTGCTTGCAGAGCCCTGGGGGTGGGATTGGGGAGGTAGTGGGGTAGGGTGGGGTGGCTGGTGCTGTGCAGAGCTTGGTGCTCATCGCCCCCTGCTGGAGGTGTTGGGACACGCGTGGATCTGTCTCTCAGAAGCTGTCTTGCCCAAGGTGTAGATTTTCTCTGGGCTTCTGAGAAGCTAGGGCACTGCGCTCAAGAGGCTGAGACAGGAAGATCGCTGTGAATTCAAGGCTGGCCTGGGCTACAAAGTGAGTTCAAAGCCAGCATGAACTGCATAGTGAAACATTGTCACTATGCGGGGGGTGGGGGTTGGGGAGGACAGACAGACAGACAGACAGACAGACAGACAGACAGACAGACAGACAGACTAGGGCAATAGAAATAAAACAGCAAAAGTCCCAGACCTGAACTCTGAGGATGGGAATAGCTCCAAACGTGGGCACAAGGTACAAAGTGTTGCAGGGGCAGCTGCGCAGTGCTTTGTGAGGGGCAGTCATCACAGCCACTGATGTGGAAGCCAGCTTAAGTCAGGCTGTGGACTGGTGCTGTGGACTGGTGGCCTACTGGCTCTGGGTCTCAGCTGTTCTCTGAGGATTCTCTGTGTGCCAAGAGGGGAGAGGGAAGCTGTGTTTGGGAGCAGCAGAGCAACAGAGGCATCGAGGGGCCCGGGAATGCTTGGAATCTGCTTTTGAAGGTCATGGCACTCCGGAGCCTGAAGACAGGTCACCTCGTCTTGCCTTCTGTCCACTGCCACTCCAGTGCTGCTCGGAGTGGCTGTGTTTGTGAACCAGGACTCCTCACTGCCTGGGCTGTGACCACCAGTAGTGGCTGAGCCCTGCCAACGTGCCTCCTCTCTGCCTTACAAACTGCAGTCATCCACCTCTCAGGGAAGTGAGATGTGGGTGGGGGGCCTTGCCAGGCCTGGACCGGGCACTCCCCTGAGACTGCAGTTCTTGTGCTCCCAATGCCAGCAACAGCATAGTGCTGTCTTGTCTAACGAGAACGGCAGCATGGGCTCCAGAATGAGCCCTTTTCCCGGGAGGCGGTCAAACACAAGAAATGGTGGTTTCCCGCAATATTTGTAAGCCAGAGATCTGTGAGCTTCAGTTTTAGATTTTTCAGCAAGTAATTATAAGAGAAAATACATTAAAGAAGACTATACACAAATTTCAAAAATAACATCTTCAAAAATTATTTTGTGGCGCTACTGGCATATACTCAAGATAAACTACATATATTCAAACTGACAAATGCAGGTGTCAGGGAAACCATCAACCCAGTCAAGAACAACCATCACCCTGAAAGATGTCTGTGCCACCCCAGTGTTCTCTGCTTCATCCCCAGGGACTACCTTCTGCATTCTGTCTCACTGACTTACTTTGTATTCTCTCAAAGTTTACAAAAGTGGATTCATACTGTATGGATTTTTTTGTGTTCCGGGAGGGGGGTCTAGTTTCTTTAATTTGACAATTATTTTGAGATTCATCATTTTGTAGCACATACCAGCTAATTCCTTTTATGGCTGAGTAGTAGCCATTGTATGGATAACCACGTCATAGTTAATTCACCCATTCACCTGTTGATGGACATTTGTGTTGTTCGGAGTCTTATTATTATTACAAATAAAGCTACTATCAACAATTGTATTCATGGCTATAAAAATATACTTCTATTTCTGTTGGATGTCAAAGAGTGGAGTTGTTGGATCACATGGTAAGTATGTTTGTCTAAGAAACTACCAAGCTTTTTTCCAGCGTGGTCATACAATTTTATCCTTCGACCAGCACGTGGGGAGTTCCAGTTCCTCCATATCCCAGCCAGCTTTTGATATTGTCAGTCTTTGGTCATTCTAGTGAGTGTA